ATACATGGCGATATATGCATGGCAATATATACATGGCAATATATACATGGCAATATATACATAGCAATATATACATGGCAATATATGCATGGCGATATATACATAGCAATATATGCATGGCGATATATACATGGCGATATATACATGGCCATATATACATGGCCATATATACATGGCCATATATACAGAGCAATATATAAATGGCAATATATACATGGCCATATATACATGGCCATATATACATGGCAATATATACAGAGCAATATATACATGGCGATATATACATGCCGATATATACATGGCGATATATGCATGGCGATATATAAATGGCAATATATACATAGCAATATATACATGGCGATATATGCAAGGCAATATATACATGGCAATATATACAGAGCAATATATACATGGCGATATATACATGGCAATATATACATGGCGATATATACATGGCAATATATACAGAGCAATATATAAATGGCAATATATGCATGGCGATATATACATGGCAATATATACATGGCGATATATACATGGCAATATATACAGAGCAATATATAAATGGCGATATATACATGGCGATATATACATGGCGATATATACAGAGCAATATATACATGGCAATATATACAGAGCAATATATACATGGCGATATATACATGGCGTTACATACATGGCAATATATACAGAGCAATATATACATGGCGATATATAAATGGCAATATATGCATGGCGATATATACATGGCAATATATGCATGGCGATATATACATGGCAATATATACATGGCAATATATACATGGCGTTATATACATGGTGTTATATGCATGGCGATATATACATGGCAATATATACATGGCAATATATACATGGCGTTATATACATGGTGTTATATACATGGCGATATATACAGAGCAATATATACATGGCGATATATACATGGCAATATATACATGGCGATATATACATGGCAATATATGCATGGCAATATATACATGGCAATATATGCATGGCGATATATACATGGCAATATATACAGAGCAATATATACATGGCGATATATACATGCCGATATATACATAGCGATATATGCATGGCGATATATAAATGGCAATATATACATAGCAATATATACATGGCGATATATGCAAGGCAATATATACATGGCAATATATACAGAGCAATATATACATGGCGATATATACATGGCGATATATACATGGCAATATATACATGGCGATATATACATGGCAATATATACAGAGCAATATATAAATGGCAATATATACATGGCGATATATACATGGCGATATATACAGAGCAATATATACATGGCAATATATACAGAGCAATATATACATGGCGATATATACATGGCGATATATACATGGCGTTACATACATGGCAATATATACAGAGCAATATATACATGGCGATATATACATGGCAATATATACATGGCGATATATACATGGCAATATATACATGGCAATATATACAGAGCAATATATGCATGGCGATATATACATGGCAATATATACATGGCAATATATACATGGCGTTATATACATGGTGTTATATACATGGCGATATATACAGAGCAATATATACATGGCGATATATACATGGCAATATATACATGGCGATATATACATGGCAATATATGCATGGCAATATATACATAGCAATATATACAGAGCAATATATAAATGGCAATATATACATGGCCATATATACATGGCGATATATACATGGCAATATATACAGAGCAATATATACATGGCGATATATACATGCCGATATATACATGGAGATATATGCATGGCGATATATAAATGGCAATATATACATAGCAATATATACATGGCGATATATGCAAGGCAATATATACATGGCAATATATACAGAGCAATATATACATGGCGATATATACATGGCAATATATACATGGCGATATATACATGGCAATATATACAGAGCAATATATAAATGGCAATATATACATGGCGATATATACATGGCGATATATACAGAGCAATATATACATGGCAATATATACAGAGCAATATATACATGGCGATATATACATGGCGTTACATAGAGAGCAATATATACAGAGCAATATATACATGGCGATATATACATGGCGTTCTATACATGGCGTTATATACATGGCGATATATACATGGCCATATATACAGAGCAATATATACATGGCGATATATACATGGCAATATATACATGGCGATATATACATGGCAATATATGCATGGCGATATATAAATGGCAATATATGCATGGCGATATATACATGGCAATATATGCATGGCGATATATACATGGCAATATATACATGGCAATATATACATGGCGTTATATACATGGTGTTATATACATGGCGATATTTACAGAGCAATATATACATGGCGATATATACATGGCAATATATACATGGCGATATATACATGGCAATATATGCATGGCAATATATACATGGCAATATATGCATGGCGATATATACATGGCAATATATACAGAGCAATATATACATGGCGATATATACATGCCGATATATACATGGCGATATATGCATGGCGATATATAAATGGCAATATATACATAGCAATATATACATGGCGATATATGCAAGGCAATATATACATGGCAATATATACAGAGCAATATATACATGGCGATATATACATAGCAATATATACATGGCGATATATGCAAGGCAATATATACATGGCAATATATACAGAGCAATATATACATGGCGATATATACATGGCGTTACATACATGGCAATATATACAGAGCAATATATACATGGCGATATATACAGAGCAATACATGCATGGCAATATATGCATGGCAATATATACAGAGCAATACATGCATGGCAATATATGCATGGCGATATATAAATGGCGTTATATACATGGCAATATATGCATGGCAATATATGCATGGCGATATATACATGGCAATATATGCATGGCGATATATACATGGCGATATATACATGGCGTTATATACATGGCGATATATACATGGCGATATATACATGGTGATATATACATGGCAATATATACATGGTGATATATACATGGTGTTATATACATGGCGATATATACATGGCAATATATGCATGGCAATATATACATGGCAATATATGCATGGCGATATATACATGGCGATATATACATAGCAATATACACATGGCGATATATACATGGCGATATATACATGGCAATATATACAGAGCAATATATACAGAGCAATATATACATGGCAATATATACATGGCGATATATGCATGGCAATATATACATGGCAATATATACATGGCAATATATACATAGCAATATATACATGGCAATATATGCATGGCGATATATACATAGCAATATATGCATGGCGATATATACATGGCCATATATACATGGCCATATATACATGGCCATATATACATGGCCATATATACAGAGCAATATATAAATGGCAATATATACATGGCCATATATACATGGCGATATATACATGGCAATATATACAGAGCAATATATACATGCCGATATATACATGCCGATATATGCATGGCGATATATAAATGGCAATATATACATAGCAATATATACATGGCGATATATGCAAGGCAATATATACATGGCAATATATACAGAGCAATATATACATGGCGATATATACATGGCAATATATACATGGCGATATATGCATGGCAATATATACATGGCAATATATACATGGCAATATATACATAGCAATATATACATGGCAATATATAAATGGCGATATATACATGGCAATATATACAGAGCAATATATAAATGGCAATATATACATGGCGATATATACATGGCGATATATACAGAGCAATATATACATGGCAATATATACAGAGCAATATATACATGGCGATATATACATGGCGATATATACATGGCAATATATACATGGCGATATATACATGGCGATATATACAGAGCAATATATACATGGCAATATATACAGAGCAATATATACATGGCGATATATACATGGCGATATATACATGGCGATATATACATGGCGTTACATACATGGCAATATATACAGAGCAATATATACATGGCGATATATACATGGCAATATATACATGGCAATATATACAGAGCGATATATGCATGGCGATATATACATGGCAATATATACTTGGCAATATATACATGGCGTTATATACATGGTGTTATATACATGGCGATATATACAGAGCAATATATACATGGCGATATATACATGGCAATATATACATGGCGATATATACATGGCAATATATGCATGGCAATATATACATGGCAATATATGCATGGCGATATATACATGGCAATATATGCATGGCAATATATACATGGCAATATATACATGGCGTTCTATACATGGCGTTATATACATGGCGATATATACATGGCCATATATACATGGCAATATATACATGGCGATATATACATGGCAATATATACATGGCGATATATACATGGCAATATATGCATGGCGATATATAAATGGCAATATATGCATGGCGATATATACATGGCAATATATGCATGGCGAAATATACATGGCAATATATACATAGCAATATATACATGGCGATATATGCAAGGCAATATATACATGGCAATATATACAGAGCAATATATACATGGCGATATATACATGGCGATATATACATGGAAATATATACAGAGCAATATATAAATGGCAATATATACATGGCGATATATACATGGCGATATATACAGAGCAATATATACATGGCAATATATACAGAGCAATATATACATGGCGATATATACAGAGCAATACATGCATGGCAATATATGCATGGCAATATATACATGGCAATATATACAGAGCAATACATGCATGGCAATACATGCATGGCGATATATAAATGGCGTTATATGCATGGCGATATATGCATGGCGATATAT